CTGAAGCCCCTCACCCAGTCTGTGGTTTGTCTTTAGGTTTACAAGCAGAAGGTGAAGCACTTGTTGTACGAACACCAGGAAAACCTCACTGAGCTGAAGGCGGAGGGCACCCTGTCCATGAAGCGGGCCCAGAAGGATCACTGGGCCCAGGAGATGGAGCTGCGTAAAGACATGCGCTCCTTGAAAGTGGAGCTGAAGGAGCAGGAGCTGGCCAACGAGGTGGTGGTGAAAAACATGCGCCTGGTATGTCCCTGGCAGGGCCAGAGCCATGTGTGAGGTGCCTCTGCTGCAAAAGGAGGGGTGGGGGGGCACCAGCTGAGCCCTGCTCACCCCAGCGTGAGAGCAGGAGCCTGCCTCCCCGGCTCTCTCTGTGGGGTGGGATGGGGTTTCCTGGAGGCATGGGTAACAGATGGACTTACAGGTGCTAGAAAGCACAGGAATGGGGAGGAGGGCTTCCTGGAGCAGCTCCTGTGAAACCCCTCTCCTGCAGCAGGGAGCTGTGAGAGCAGCTGGAGAGCCTGTGAGCTGCCGTTTGCACAGATAACGTGGGATTGGTGCCATGGCGGGAGCCTTTCCCAGGGAGCAGGAGGGAATCCCTCGGGGTGCGGCTGACTCAGGATTTGGTTGTCTGCCTCTAACACGTAGCTTCTTCCTAACAGAAACAAGAGGAGGAGATCACCCGGCTGAGCAATGACTTCGAGAGACAAGTGAAAGGTAAGGATGTGTGCGTAGCTCCTGCATGGCCTCCCTTTGTCAGTGTGCCGGGGAAGGCTCTTCTGAGCTCTGTTGCGCTGCTGGGCTCCCTAGCAGATGCTCAAGCAGAAAGATTTTCCCTCATTTCTGGCTGGTTTGCCCCAGTTCTGGTTGATTTCTCCCAGTTCTTGCTCCCCTGTGCTCTGGGACTGCCAGACCCCCAGCATTGTGCAAACAGAACAAGGCTGGGTGCCTGCAGCACGAGCTGAGGGGTGCAGGCAGGGCTCCTGTCACTGCTGCCAGGCCATACTGCTGAGCGCAGCTGCCCGGCAGCGCTTCTCCAGGCTGTGGGGTGGGGAGGCTGGAGGAGCCCTTGCAGAGTCCTCGCTCCAGTCTCCTCCTCAGGGGACGTTTCAGGTTCTCACGGGCTGACTTGGAGCGTTTCCATGCCCTCTTTCCAAGGATGCTATTTCTGGGCTCTGCTCTCTGTGGTCCCAGCGTAACTGCTCTGCACGCTGGTGGCAGCTGCGGTGACGCTGCTAATAAGCGTCTTGTCCTTGAGTAATGCCGTGGTGGCATGCGCTGGGCTGACGCTGGCTAGTGGAGCTGGGGTGCAGTATGCAGGGTCTCCATGAGGTCCTCACTCAGTCCCCTGTGCGCTCCCCCAGAGATCGAGGCCAAGTACACCAAGAAGATGCAAGTGCTGCGGGACGAGCTTGACTTGCGGAGGAAGACTGAGATCCACGAGGTGGAGGAGAGGAAGAACAGCCACATCAGCGAGCTGATGAGGAACCACGAGAAGGCCTTCAGTGACATCAAGAACTACTACAACGATATCACCCTCAAAAACCTGGCACTCATCAGCTTGCTGAAGGTATTGTCTGTCCCCCTGCTCTAGCTTGCCTGGCCTGCATAGTGTCACCCTTCCACCAAGGGACCGGTCCTTTGAGGATTTCACCCAGATCTGGCCAGTTCCCAGGTGGTGGTGTGGGTGCTGCTGGTCTCCTGAGGGTTGTACGCTGTTACACGAGTGAAACTCTTGAGCACAGCAAGATGCATCTTGCTGGGCCAGCAACAGAAGGACGTATGGAGGGTGTGGGAAGTTCTGAGGAGTTGGGCAGCCCCCAGGAGTTGGTACTCGTGTTCCCAAGAACAGGAGCAGATAGAGGAGATGAAGAAGAAAGAGAATCACTTGGAAAAGGAGAAGGCGGATGTGCTGCTCCAGAACAAGCAGCTGAAGGAGCCCCTGCAGCAGGCCCAGGAGCGGGTGTTTGAGCTGCAGAAGAAGCTGGCTCACTATGACAAGGACAAAGAGGCCCTGACGGTGAGTGGCCAGCCCTGTTCTTTCCTGAGTCACCCTGGCTGTTTCCTGGAGGGAGTCACTCAGCAGTGACCTCTGCCACTTGGCTTGGCCAGATCGCTAAGCAAAGTCCTTCAAGTCCTTTTCAGCTTATCTGGGTGTCTATAAGATCTTAGATGGGACTCCCAGGACTCTGGCAGCGAGAAACAAGAGTAGCCCCCACTGCAGAGGGGGAAGGGAGAAGGGAGTTGGTGTGGGTGCTGCCTGGTTTTTGTTTTTGTTTTTTTTTTTCCTCGCCCATATCTCTTTGCTGGTCACTGTCCTCCCTTGCCAGAACACATCCTCCACACCCCCAAGAGAAACCCGTGCTCTTTAACTGTCCGTTCCCACTCGCAGAACACAAAAGCCCGTCTGAAAGTCACCCAGAAGGAACTGAAAGATCTTCAGTGGGAACACGAAGTGCTGGAGCAGAGGTTCAGTAAGGTGAGAGCTGCAAGATGGGCCCGGGCATCCCAATTCCCTCTCCAAAACCTGTCCCCTCCGCAGAGGATTGAGCACTGGGGCTTAGCAGAGTCTGTGCTTAGCCGAGGGCTTTCTGAAGCTCTAATCCAGAGCCGTGCGATAACTGCTGCTTCCAACAAAGCTTCTCATAGCTTTGGCATCTCCCACGGTCAGCAGACAGGCCTGTCCTTGTACTTTGCTAAGCAATCATGCACGCTCCAGCGGTCCCCTCCCGGCCTGCGAGGGACTGGCCGCAGCAGCAGCTCGGGATGAGTTGTATTGACTGAGTTCTCCCAGATTCAGCCTCTCCATCCCCCCCCAGCTAACCCAGATAAATCTGTTGAGGCAGAAGAGAGCTCATTTGCAATTCGTAGAAATCCCCAGGAATATGAACATTGATCTGAGGCCTCGTTAACAATCCATCATTAAGGCAGCAACATATTCGGTGCATTCAGAAATAGGCTGTGGAGGAGAGATTGTGTCCTAATTAGGACACTTATTAACTAGTTGTGAGCCAGGGACTCCTGCCAGCTGCGAGGAGGAGAGGCGAGACCCTCGTGTGCTGTGGGGCCCTTTCTGAGGTCTAAAATAGTGCCGCAGCGAGTTCATCAGCCCGTTCTGCTGTCAGGGGTGTCTGGTGGGGAGGAGGAAGCAGAAGTGCAGGTGCTGAGGAGGTGCCAGCCATGGAGGCAGGGAGGGAAGCTGTGCTCCAGCACCTGCGTTCCCCACGGGCTGCAGGTGCCGTGGGGAACGGCCGGGCTCTCGCTGGAGCAGGTAGGGCTGAGCTGCCGGACCTGTTTGCTGCCAGCCCTGGGTGGCCACCAGCCTGGGGGTCCTGAGGGCAGTGTGAAGGCGTGCTGTCTTTGGGAGCAGGTGCAGGCAGAGCGAGATGAGCTCTATCAGAAGTTCACCAAAGCCATTAACGAGGTGCAGCAGAAGACGGGCTTCAAGAACCTGCTCCTGGAGCGCAAGCTGAAAGGACTCCTCAGCGTCCTGGAGAAAAAGGAGGTGGAGCTCAGCGAGGTCTTTGCAGCCTCCAACCTCGACCCAGGAGCCCTCTCCTTGGTCTCGCACAAGCTGGAGGTACCGTGTGCTGCCGTGGGGCCCTGCAAAGGCTGGCCTTGGGGGGCAGAGGCTGCTCTGGGGTGAACGCAGACCTTGGAGCTTGCGAGTCCCCATCCTATGTGGCTGTAGCTGCCACATCACTCATTTCTGGCACTCCCAGAGCCACGCATGGTGCCGCAGGGCACTCTGTCTCTCCCTCGAGAGCGGAGCGTGTGGGTGTCAGAGTTTGGCACAGATCTCTCCCTCAGGTGGGGCCTGTTTCGAGGAGATTAGCCCCAGGCTGAGCAGCGTTCACCAGCGCTCTGCTGCTGAGCAGCCTGGATGCATGCAGGGTCCGTCAGCGACCCGGGGTGCTCTGTGCATGGGGAGTCACAGCCAGTGAACCTCGCCTGGCCTCCCTGGCTGCAGAGACAGCGTAGACGGGTTCCCAGGGGCTCTGCAATGTCTGGCGTGCTAAAAATACGTATGCAGAAAGCCTCGGCGCGAAGTCTCGGAGACCCACATTCCTGGAGCCTGCCGCAGCTGTAACTTGAGAAGCAGCACTTGCTTCGGGTTGGGTTGAGGCGCAGAGGACGTGGGCTCCATGCTTGGCTCAGCCACTGCCCCAGTGCCCTCCCGCTTGACCCACGCCAGCCCATCCCCTTCCAGGTCCCCTCTACAATGGTTGGCAGTGAAGCTCACGGACACCCTCTTGCCAGGGTGCCCTGGGGATGTGCACAGCAGCAGCCAAGGCTCTGGGGACGTAGGATGGGGCAGCGGATGTGTTGCCTACTAGCAGGTGCCACAGCAGAGGAAGGAAAACACATTCCTGGGAAGGCGTCGTGGCGTCAAGCTCTCCCACAGTTGCTGGGGTCCCGGAATTCCTCCGCTCAGCTGCTTCTAGCGGTTTCCCAGGGAGCCTCTGTGCCTGTAATTCCCCCGGTGCCGCGATGGCAGGGCGATGCTGCCAGAGCAGATACTGCTGTTGCCTCCCCGGCCTTGCAACGGGGCAGACAATGATGGCAGGGTTGTGCTGACACTTGCGTTGTTGGTCTGGGAGGTCCCTGTCCCTCGGCTCTGCCTGGGGCTGGCTGTCCCTGGCAGTGCTGGCTCAAAGGGAGCAGGGTGGTGGCCGCCTGCCAGGCCATGCTGCGAGCTGCTCTGCTTGAATCGGGCACCGGTGCCAGCTCGGCCGCCGCGCAGCAGCTCCTCCGTGTGCTCTGCCAAGCCACTCCCGGCTGCGGCAGGGGCACC